AGCTCAGATTAGGCAACAGCCCCTGCGCGACCCTAACACTTGATCACCAAAAGTGAAAGTCAACTTGGGAGTCTTAACTGTGACTAAAAACTCAGTAGAAGATAAATCCTAGATTCAGCAAGGTACTGCTGTCAACCTCTGCAGTCATTTGAAAGAGTAAACCTGGGCTGTGAACTGCACAAATATTCTGCATGTATTTGTCATTCAAAGAATCTTGCTTGGCATTAAGTACGTACCCAAAGTTATAACATCGCTATACTAAAAAATTTGACCAAAGAAGATGAATTTAGCTACCTAGGCTTGTTTATCTTGGGGGAGATTTTTGGATCCACAGGATGTTTTTATCTGAAATGCTCTTAGTTAATTGCCCAGAATTGTCTCATGCCCCAGGAGGCCTCATGATTGATCAGAAAAAAAAAAAAACATAAAAAACACACAATTAGAACTTAGACTTGATTTAAGATTCCTGATTTGAAGGCCAAGGTTTTTCCCTCTAAAAGCAATTTTCAATAAGTATATTGAAATGTAGTATATGAAAAAATATGCATGCACCTCAAAAAATATTTGTACCCAATAATCTTTTATTTTTATTATTTTTTAATTGGAAAGGCGGATATACAGAGAGGAGAGACAGAGAGGAAGATCTTCCGTCCGATGGTTCACTCCCCAAGTGAGCGCAATGGGCCGATACTATGCCGATCCGAAGCCAGGAGCCTCTTCTGGGTCTCCCACGTGGGTACAGGTTCCCAAAGCTTTGGGCTGTCCTCGACTGCTTTCCCAGGCCACAGGCAGGGAGCTGGAAGGGAAGCGGGGCTGCCGGGATTAGAACCGGCGCCCATATGGGATCCCGGGCGTGCAAGGCGAGGACCTTTAACCACTTGTGCCACTGCGCCGGGCCCAGCCAATAATCTTTTTAAATCCATTTTTCCAATAACTTTTTGAAGTACCTTTATATATGGCCCACTGTGGTACCCCAGTGGCTAAAGTCCTCGCCTTGCACACATCATGATCCCATATAGGTGCCGGTTCTAATCCTGGCGGCCCCAATTCCCATTCAGCTCCCTGCTTGTGGCCTGGGCAAGCAGTAGAGGACAGCTCAAAACCTTGGGTTCCTGCACCCACGTGGGAGACCCAGGTTTCAGACAGGCACAGCTCCAGCCATTATGGTCACTTGGACACAGAATCAACAAAAGATCTTCCTCTCTGTCTCTCCTCCTCTCTGTATATCTGACTTTCCAATCAAAATAAATGTTTTTTAAAAATGTATCTTTATATAAACTATATAGAAAAACTATTTTCTCATATGATAGGTAGAAAATCTTAGGACAGACACGTAGATGGACTCTGTATAAAACTATCATGAAAACCTATTTGAACTTCTGCCATCTATTCCTCTCAACAAACATCATCAAAACAGGCAGAGGCGTTCACTGCCCCTATGGCCTCTGCACCTCCCTCCAAATTCGCACCTCTTGATACACAAGTAACCCTAACCATCTCTAGATCTTTGACATGCTAAGGAATAGTGTTTTCAAAATCTGGAGAAGAGAACCTATCTTCCACAGCATTAATGATCAGCCTGCCTTCTGTCTCCAACGCCAGCAGTGACACTGACCTGCATCAGACAATGGTTTTCTACTGACTTCCACATGGAAAAAAATAGTCTATGGGCAATAATGACCTCCTGGCCCATTAGCCATGAAAAATACTTTTGAGTACCTTGATACTGAGACTGAAAACTTCTGGTTACATCCATATTCTTTTAAGAAAATTTATTTTTATTGTAAAGTCAGATATACAGAGAGAGGAAGAGAGAGATCTTTGTCTGATTCACACCTCAAGTGACCACAAAGCTGTGTTGATCTGAAGCCAGGAGCTCTTCCGAGATTCCCACACGGGTACAGGGGCCCAAGGCTTTGGGTCGTCCTCTACTGCTTTCCCAGGCCACAAGCAGGGAGCTGGATGGGAAGCAGGGCCGCCAGGATTAGAACCGGCACCCAAAAGAGGTCCCGGTGCTCAAAGCCTTGAGACCCTGAACCCACGTGGGAGACCCTGACCAAGTTCCTGGCTCCTGGCTCTGGATCAGCACAGCACTGGCCGTTGTGGTCACTTGGGGAGTCAATCATCGGACAGAAGATCTTCCTCTCTCAGTCTCTCCTCCTCTCTATATATAACTGACTTTGCAATAAAATAAATAAATCTTAAAAAAAAGAAAAGAAATAGAAATAGCACAGCTGGTCTCATTTTGAAGCCTTGGGGCTGTGACTGTGGTGGTTAGCAGCATGTGTCTAAGCTAAGGTCATAGGCTGAAGCCTTAGAGCAGACTCCCCATCATCTGACAAATGATGTTACAAGCAGAGGGTGGACTGTCAAGGGTATCGCAGACAGAGCCTTGCTGGAGAAACAACAACGGAAGCACAGTGACATTACTTGGGCGTGTTTAGAGTAACAGCAAGACTCAAGGGGAGGTAGAGAGAAGGCAGAGGGAGACTGTGGGAAGTGAGGCCAGCAGGGCAGCACCACTCACATGTCGAAGGTCCCTCTTGGTGCTGCTGGAAGCATCAGCTTCAGTCCAGAGACAGTGTGGAGCCTGTACCTGCCCCAGCTGCTTCCAACAATGTGGCTGCAGCCCAGGGGCTGGTTATAGCTTTTGGGGAGCAAAAGTGGCCTTTTTACTCCACTCCTGACTGGAAGGCCCCTCCTTCTATTGCCTCCTCATCCCCTCTTGCCACCATCTGAATAAAATGAAATATAATAATAGCAGCACGCTAGAGTACCCAATGCGTTCTTCGTGCAAGCTTGGTTAAACAAATCACATTGACCTTTAATAAAAATGTGCCAAATGCTTCCTCCTCTCATTCAATATGTTAATCTTTAGGCCAAACCACCGTCAGAACAAGCCTCATTAAGTACAGCTCAGTTCTGGCAGCTGCTCCCAGCTTCCAACCCTCCATGGGCCCCACATTGCCTCCAGGACAAAGCCAAGGCTCCCGACAGCACCCCAAAGGGCCTTCCTTCTGCAACTGCTGACCCCAACAGCCTCACGTGCCACAGTCTGTCTCCCCTGCCCACAGATCCCCCTGCCTCTCACCCACACTCCAGCCACCCCCAAGCACTTGGCACTCCCCATTCCCTCAGCTGTTTTCCTAGCAGGGTTCTGTCTGCAGCACTCTTGCCGCTGCCTCCTCTGCGTTGAGTGCCACAGGTCTATTACCACCTATCCTATCCTTTGAGAGGCAGCTCAGGTCAGCCCTCAATTCGTCCTTTCCAAAATCCCACCACCACCGCATGCCCTGTTCTCACCAGGCACTATCATCAGCTGTCCCCAAGCCAGTGCACATGGCCATTACCATCTCTGGGACTCCTTGCCGCATCCTGCTCACCTACCCCTGGCTCTGTGTCTGACACATTCACATCGGGGGCCTAAGAAATAGAGACTAAGGATGAACACTTCATGTATACTTGAGGTGTTGGCACCTGTTCCACTTTCAAGGGACTCTTGCATGACTCATGCTCTGGGCTCATGCTCATGGGCTTTGTTCATGGAAACACTACATCACAGAGGTCCCAGTGCAGACCCAGCCTGGTCATATTCCAATCCCTCCTCTTGGGCGTATTGTGATTCCCTACAGTTTTGATAGAAAGGCAGAAACATTCCAATGGAAAGTGACAAAAAATACGTCCATCCTATAGGGTGGTCTCCAAATTCAGCTTGACTAAGCTTTCTCCCTTGGGGCCTTTTCATGGACAGAACTCTGGAGGGCAGAGGAAAGGCTTCCATTTCCCTGTCAGGGAACTTGGGAACCAGGAGGAGCAGTTGCAGCTAGAGCAGGCAAATGATGGTTTTACTTTCACCATTCCAAACCATGGATATAGTTAGGCTACCTCAAGATGAGAGAACAGATAGAGAAAAGAAGAGAGGCCTAGCTGGTGTTCAGGGAATGCCAACAGTAAGAGAAACAGGCAGACAACCAGGAGTCAACAACAGAAGAAATGACCAGAAAACCAAGAATATTCCCTTTCTGAGGCCAGGTGGAAGCCATCTATGCAAAAGGAAGTGAAGCAGGAACATATGGAGAAGGGAAAAGGAGGAAGAGAGTTGTTGTGATTTGCGATTTGAAAATTCCAGTGCAATTTCGTAAAAATATAACCAATACATTGGATTTAAAAATAAAGAAATGCTCTAAGATGCTAATGATGATTTCACTTGCTTTAATTTCTTCTTTCTTTTTTCTGTGTAGTGGTCTGTATATACTTCTCACTGAAGAACTATGCTCCATAGTAAACAATATAAGGATATGAATACACTAACTGTAGGAGGAAAGCCTAGAATGTATGGGCCTCAGAAGGCGGAAATCCATAGAACATGGAATCAATTGTTAAATTTTTACCACCGAAGTTTATGGTGGGATTTGGCCTGATTTTTCTTTGGGGAGATATTGTGTGAATTTTCCTTTACATAATCAGTTAAGTGAGAAGAACGATGAGTAGGCAACTTTTCAAAAGGTCCTAAATCTTTGACTTCTCTGTCTCATGATGATGAGAACGCTGATGGAACCCTGACCAAGAACATGGCAGTAGCCCACATTCCTTGCAGTTTGCCAGGATCCAGTGCCCCTTCCTGGGGAGAGGATCTACTTCATCACACTTCTGATGGCACCCTTGCCTGTGAAATGTATTTACCTACCGAGATGGGAGCACAAGTGGCAGGTGTGTGTGTGGCATGGGAGCTTTCAGAGTTACCCTGCTCGTACTGCTGTCACCCCTCACAGAGGTCCACACGGCACTGACAAGAGCGCCACAGAGCCAAATCGTCAGCTGCACTTATGAGCAACAAGCCTTTCTTGTTTCAAAATCGTTGAACTTTTGAGGAGGGCGGGGAGCTAGTTGTTACTCAAGTTTATCCTGCAGAAAAAAAATCATGAAGAATCCAAAAAGAAGGTGGAAAAAATTCTCAGGAATCCTAATTCTGAAATCACCTTTTCTTTTTTCTTTTCCAGACGATGCATATTTACTACAGGGACTAAATATAGAGGAATTATATCCAGAGACCTCTAGTTTCATTACTTATGATGGGTCAATGACCATCCCCCCCTGCTATGAGACAGCAAGTTGGATAATAATGAACAAGCCTGTCTATATAACCAGGATGCAGGTGAGCTTCTCTGGAGCCCTTGATGAAGGGGAAGGTGATGGCAAGCCTAACTGGGTTGGCAGGGGGCCTACTGTTGTAAGGATACAGCACAATGGGTGGCTAACACAGCAGCAAGGATTATCTCACAGCCAGAGGACTAAGACCAAGGTGTTAGAAAGGCATGATAAGGGGAGAAATCTGTCCCAGGCTTCTCCCCTCACTTTCTCGATGGCAGAAATATCAGCCTCCTCCCACAAGCTTTGTCTTCTTCACGGGGCATTCTCCCAGTGTCAAATACCTCCTTTTGATGAGCATACCAACCCTACTGAGTTAGAGTCTGCCTGGATGGCATCACCTTGCTTGAGCTATTTGCATCTGCAATGACCTTGTTTCCAAATAAGGGCACATGCTGTGGTATGGGGTGTGGGTAACAGGACCATACACCCATAAAAGACCCATGAAAATGTGGGAGGTACTCAATGCAAACCTTAGCCTGAACATCTGAAAAGGCTTGGTATGTACTTGGTATCCTAAAGTCCCAGCAAGCCTGAATGAGAAAACACAGTAGATTAGTTCCCAATACATAAGCTATGCAACTCCAGCATTTGATATGCAAATGAGGTCAATAGATGATGAGGTCCAGTGCGTTTGAAAAAGCTGGGTTTTAAAAAGTTACATTGGCTTAATTATGGAGAGACTGCTCAGAGATCTCCTAGAGTGGTAATTCGTGAGTTCATCACTAGAAGGGGACCCCTTGACAGGTGGTACTCCGCAAGTGCATTTGCACGTGAAATACCCTTCAGTTCATCCCACAGGTGATCCATTTCTCAGAATTACATGGACCCAGATCTCCCTTCTTGTGCCAGCCTTGCTGAATGACCTGTTGTGCATTTTAGGCCTGTCACACACATTGTAAAGTGACTCTCCCTCTTCTTTATAATGAGGGGTAGGGGGAAACCATGAGTCTACTCCAGCTCTGAAGTGCTGTGATTATGAGTCTATAAAAATGTCAAGATGAGCAAAGCAAGCCGAATCCAGTCGCCCTGCAGCATATCTGTTTATAGCCCAACAGCAATTTGTATATTGTGAAGTCCGTGGCCCTATCTGTATAAGATAATCTTTTTAGATGACCTTGTAGAGATTCAGTATAAAGATAGGATTTGCTCAAGATTTACTGAGGCAGCTTAGGGAACTGCAGATGAGAAATCCATGCAAGGAACTCAGTGAACTCCAAACCCTGAAGCCCTTTCTTCCTGTGCTTGTTCCCCTTGTTACCACATATTTGCTCCTCTCCCCTTTGACTGTCCTGTTTCACTTCATAGTCCCATGATGGAAGGTGACTGCAAATATTACGGTGCTGCCTCCTGGCCCTGATAGTCACCACAAAGGACCTGAATTGCTCCAGCTTAGTTCTGACTGCAGGACCCATCGTCACGGTCGGAGCGACACCCAAGGTGTCAGAGGAAACCCCAGAGAACACCTAGCCCAATTTCCTCCCCTGCCAGATGGCACATGGAAGGATGAGAGAGGGCAAAGGACAAGTTCAGAGACACAGATGAGCTGGGGACCCAGAAGCTAGGCTCACTCTACAAAGGGAGGCATTAGTGAACCTTTGGCTCAACGGAACCCATCCACAAAGAGCTGATCCACATGGTCTTACTGTCCTAGTGCATTTAAGATAGTTTGACTCTCACACTGTTTCTCCCTCTTCAGATGCATTCCTTACGTCTACTGAGCCAGAATCAGCCATCTCAGATCTTTCTGAGCATGAGTGACAACTTCAGGCCTGTCCAGCCACTCAATAACCGTTGCATCCGCACCAACATCAACTTCAGTTTACAGGGGAAAGACTGTCCCAACAACCGAGCCCAGAAGCTTCAGTATAGAGGTGAGTGCAGTGGTTCAGACAGCCAAAGACCCGGGCCAGTGCACAGTCTTTCTGCGTAGGCCTGTTCTTGAAGGTCCTCTGTGGTCCCCCCATTGTGGGAATCATGGCTGCAAATGGCAGTGAGAATACTACCCCCCACCCCCATTTGCACAGTGCTTCTGGGAATCTGTATCACATATGTGAAACCTTTAAACCCTTCCAGTTCCAGCAAAACCCATTTTTGTCATTCTGTGGAAGAATCCAGAAAGGCTGTTTCTCCCAGGAACAGGATAGCAAAAAGCACTGGAGCTTTAACTCATGTACAAGATAGACCCATTTTCCCCTGATGGGTGAGCAACTGCTCTGGATGCCTGGCCTTCGTGACCCATTAAGGTCACATGTGTGAAAAGATCTTTGTCCGGTGATGTAGCCCTAGAGATTATTCCTCATAAAAGGGTCATTTTTGATAACATCTACCTCCTGTACCCTCAGATCTATACCCTCTGTGACCTCTCTTTCCTTCCACAAACTGAGCCAATATTTATTGATCATTGTGCTAAATACTCAGTGTGGGAAGGAAGATGCAGGCAGGGCAATGCCTTAGGGGTGCTGTGAACTGACAGGATACCTGAGTTCCAGGCCTGGTCCTACCACTCTGTGCAAACCCAGCCAAGATATTTCCTGCTCTCTCCCCTTGCCTTTCAAATAAATGAGTGAATCTTTAGTAGGAGATTTCTGCCTGTGTCTGTAGTTTCCTCATCCCTGGTCAGGAGCAAGCCATCCACTGGAACTTTGTGATGATGGAAATGTTCCACGTCTTCACTGTGCAATACTGCAGCTGCTAGACTGACGTGGTAGCTCAGCATTCAAAATGAGACTCATGTGTGGATTGAAATAAATGTTTATGATTTTAATTAACTTATCAGTAGTAACATATGATCATTGGTTATCCCACTGGACAGGTTTAGATGTTATGGGGAAGGGGGAGCTTGGACCCATGTAAATATGTGTTGATGAAACAACCCCTTCCCCCTTGGAGAAAGCCTCCAAAAGTGCTTATTAATTCAGCGTTGCCTTGTTTTGTGTGTATGTGTGTCTGTCTTTCTGTCTTGCAGTAAATGAGTGGCTCCTCAAGTAAGGAACTGAGCTAAGAGGAATGCCGCCTCAGCGAAAATGCTACAACTGTGAATTGATGTAACCCTGAATGTCCCCCTTCTCTCTTCCTTCTCCTTCCTTCCCCCGAGCCTCATTCACTCGTCAGATTGGCCCTCTCTTCATGAAAGTGTCTGCAAAACCATGGCAGAAGAACTTATATCACACACACACACACACACACACACACACACACACACACAAATATCATACAACCTCCATGATGGGAAATTTCAGAAACAAAAGGCTCATTCATAAGAAGACTTAGAAGAAAATAACCAGTTAACCTGATAAAAATTTTGATACTGCTTTCCTGAACTAATCAATCTACCCAGTGAGACTTTTCAGCCTTTGTATATACAAGATTCTTCCAAACGCAAGAGAGGAGAGTGTGGCTGCGACACCACCAAGAGGACTTTGCATCAAGTCATCTCGGAGAGCGTCCCAGGATCCTCTGCGGGTGCTGGGGGCAGAGTAAGCCAGGGCAAAGTTGACCACGAACACTTATTTCTAGATTATGATTCTTCCGTTTACTCAACAATTTAAAAATGGACATTGAAGAGCTACACACTGTATATATCACCGCAGACTCTACGGAAATGGAATTATTTCCCTCTTTGTCACATAACTGTAGTAGGATTGCCAAGATCAGAATTGATCCATTTGTTGTTTCTTGTTTTCCAAAGGTCATACATTGTGTTTGATTATTGTTAACAGCTCAATAAATGTGTTGAACGAGTGGATTTCATTTTCCTGGCTCGGCTCTGTTCCCCTTCCTCACAGGCTAAGCCGTGCCACCATGCAACCGCAACCTTCCACTTCATTTGCATCCTCATCTCCATGTCTTGTTCATTTGCGGCCCATTTGAACTGGATGTGTGGCAGCCAGGAATGCATCTGCTAAGCAAGCCTAACTTTAATTCCATTCCATGGCTCCATCATTCATACAAGGTGAGCGTCAACCTGAGATAGCAGGCGACAGATTTCTTGCTTTCAAAACTGCCATCCCCCTGAGCTGCTCCCTTGAAGGAATGCACTTTGCCTTGTAAATTCCTGGGAAATAGGGTGTCTATTCTCTCCAGGCGCAGCCAGATCTCACAAAGTACAAATGAATGCCTTTCTTTTCTTGTTTATAATGGTCACTCACTGTGTTTGGTTACTGTCAAAAAAAAAAAAAAAAGATCAATAAATGTGTTTAACAAGTTACCCAGGACCCATGTCTGAGTTTGTTGAGAAGAAGCTTCCTGCTAAAGTCTCTGAGCCCTGCTGGGTCCACAAGGAATCACAAAGTGTCCATGGGGTAGCCAGCACCTCTAGAACAATCCACCTGCTCATACCGAGAGCCAGGTCATTAATATCCTGTCGGGAAAACAGACGCTTAGTGTCTGGAAGAGCAGATTTAAATGTTCATTCAGTGGCCAAATTAAAAATAACTTTCTTCTCTGCTTTCAGTACCATCAAGAAGGAGAACACAGGCATGAAAAAAATCTATGCAATGTCTGTAGGCGTATGGAGAATTTTAGCCAAATGGTGAGAATGGCTGATAACAAATACCTAGCTATTTCCTAGTTGAAATAACACATTTAAATGATTTTTCTTTTTCACTTTTTAAAATTTATTTTTATCACAGAGTCAGATATACAGAGGAGGGGAGAGACAGGAAGATCATCTGTCCAATGATTCACTCCCCAAGTGACCGCAACGGCCAGTGCTGCGCCGATCCTGAACCAGGAGCCAGAAACTTCCTCCAGGTCTCCCACACCAGTGCAGGATCCCAAGGCTTTGGGCCGTCCTCGACTGCTTTCCCAGGCCACAAGCAGGGAGCTGGATGGGAATTGGAGCTGCCGGGATTAGAACTGGCACCCATATGGGATTCTGGTGTGCTCAAGGCAAGGACTTAAGCCACTAGGCCATGGCGCCGGGCCCCTCTTTTTCATTTTTTTTTAAAAGATTTTATATTTATTGGAAAGTCAGATATACATTGAAGAGGAAAAATAGAGGAAGATCTTCTGTCCAATGATTCATTCCCCAAGCAGTCACATGGTCAGAGCTGCCAGACCACCAGGATTAGAACCAGCGCCCATATGGGATTCTGGCGTGTTCAAGGCAAGGACTTTAGCCACTATGCTACCATGCTAGGCCCCTCTTTTCTACTTTTTTACTCGAATGCATGTTATGTGACAGCCTTAGCTATAATGGGATATATAAACCGATTTCTGAATAATCGCTTTTTTTTAAAACAACAACAAATACTAACAAGCTTAGGGCAGGCAGGTGGCCATCTTTGGGTGGCTTGCTGCATGGCATAGCACAGTGACCAAAACACAAGGATGGCAACTTGGCTTCCCTATGCCACCTGCCTGTGGTGTGACCCTGTGCAAGTCGCTCGACTTCTCCGCTCTGTACACTGGAGATGCCTAATGACCACATCCATGACTTAAGGGGGTTCAGTGCTTCCAAAGTGTACTTCAAAAATTCACAGAAAATCAAATGACATGTTTGACAAAAAAAAAATTGAAATTCATGTATCATTTTCACGTAACATGCATTGCCCATGAGCCTTTTGGGGAACCCATTTTTGCATTAATTTCAAAAGTTTTTGTCCCAAATAATCAAGCTTGCATTTTAACTCCATGTTTTCAAAAGCATTTTTGCAGAATCCTGGTATAGCTTGCACAGTTACTAAAAGCAACTAATTTGATACCTAACACTGACAGTTCAGTCAACAGTGTCCATGGAGTGCGAGTGTGGCCTACCCGTTAGGAGTCTATCTGAATCACCCTGTACCTCTCTTGACAGGGCTGGGTTAGTATCAGCCATGAGGGACTCCGGGCTAGTATCAAACCTCAGGGGAGGACACCAGGCTGAGAGCCCAAGGTCAATGCTTGAGGCATAAGGAAGAGAAGAAGGCTAACAGGCAAGCAAGGCAGGCAGAGAACTGAGTCTGGAGTCCCTTTTCTCCAAGTTGCAACCCCCTGTCATTTTGGGCAAGTCAACTCCCCTCTGCAGGTCTCAGGTCTTATTTAGGAATGGGTTGAAGCAGATACCCTCCAGGGGGCTCTCCAAGCCAACCTTTCCCAGCTGTGGCTCTCAGTTCTCCAGACCAAGGAGAACAAAGCAACAACGCCAGGCTCTCTCTCCTGGAGTCACTGGGAGGGGGCACACTTTCACCTTAACCAAGTCAATCTTGAAACGAAGCCTCCTGCACCCTAGCACACACCTTCTAATTCCAGTCCCACATGCCCCTTCGCCACACCCACTGGCTTTCCCGAAGTGGAAACAGAGGCACTAGACCCTCCTACTTCATGGCAATAGTAAAGATGGACTACAGTAGTCTCTCTGCAAAGACCAAGAGGAGGAAGTTGGTGGTCTCAGGCATGGCCCCTAGGCCATGGCCTGGTGAGAGAAGCAAAGAGCCGGATCACAGTAATGTGCTTTGTTGCCCTTGGGTGCTCAGGATGAAGGCAGTGGTGCTGCTGGGTGCTGCAGTGCCTGTCAGCCACCTGGTTTCACCCGGAGGGTCTCAGGCACACCCAAGGATCCCTTCCCTCCTAGAGACAACCTGCAGGGCAACATCTGCGGAACCCCAGTTCCCTCCTCAGGGAAATCAAGGAGGAAGGGAAATAGACACACAAGACTGTTCTGGGCAAATTGGATGAGGAGAAGTCTGCAGCCCAGTCACCTGCTCCCATCTCCTTGGGTAGTAGTTTGGTTTCCATGGTGACACTGGGACAACCACACCTCACTGCACTAAATGTGTGTGGACTGTAACATAGGACAGTGGGAGCCTGACCTGGTAGAGGGCAGGCAGACAGCCATCAGTCACAGTGCTGACCACACACACCAAGCCTAACAATTGGGTAAACCCTTCTCATTGTTCCCTAGAGCCTGAGACGTCCAGGAACAGGAACTCATCTTAAGGTCACACAGGGAACCTCAGGACGGATCTGCCAAGATTCCTGGCCCAAATCCTATGCCAAGAAGTTGGTAAACATCATCTCATTTCACCCTCACAGCTGACTCAGGGTGAAAATGCAGAAAGTGGCTTTCTTACAGACCAAGTCACATGAGTGGTCACATGGCTAGTAAGCCAGATGCAACTCTTCTAAACTTTTGGTTCTCGCAGTGTGACCCCAGAACACAGCAAGCTAATCTGCCACTGCAGTGCCAGCATCCCATAGGGGCATCAGTTCACGTGCTGGCTGTTCCACTACCCATCAAGCTCCCTGCTTATGGTCTGGGAAAACAGCAGAGGATGCCCTCAGCACCCCAACACCCATGTGGAAACCTGGCAGAAGCTCCTAGCTTCCAGCTTTGGATCAGCTCAGCTCCAGTCATTGTGGCCGTTTGGGAGCTGGACAGCAGATGGAAGATCTCTATCTCTCCTCCTTGTAAATCTGACCTTCACATAAAACTAAATACATCCTTTAAAACAAGTGTGGGCCCAATCATCCATGTCATTTGGGAAATCGCATGACAATTATGTAAGAATAATAGATAACTGAAACAATGAGGGAAGTGCATGGTGCAATGGAGTAAGCTGCTACTTATATAGGGTAAGATAACTACATCAGATATCAGAGTGTTGGATTTGAGTCCAGGCTGCTCTTTCCTAATCCAGCTCCCTGCTAATGTCCTGCAAAGCAGCAAGTAGTGGCTCAAGTCCTTGAGTTTCTGTCATCCACATAGGTGACCTGGAGGGAGTTCCTGGATCCTGGCCTGGCCCTGACTTGCAGTTATTTGGGGAGTGAGCAGTGGATGGAAGATCGATCTATTTTTTCTCTCAGCATCTTAAATAAATAACAAATAAAAGAACTTTTAAAAAATATTGTTTATAGAATTTTCTTGTGAGGCAGGAGATAGGATTTGATGCTTTTCACTTCACAGCTGTTGAGCTCCTCTGTGTACCAAGTAGATAAGCAGTATTTTTAATATATTATTTTAAAGATTTATTTTTTTTTTATTGGAAAGGGAGATTCACAAAGAG